TTACAAAACGAGGTAAAGCTTTATCTTGGAGATTTTTGTCCTGAAGTCATTTATAGTTCCATTTCGGTACTTCTTTCCTTTTCTCGTTCTTACTAAACTTACCCAAGGAACAAAACTAAAAGGAACTCAATAGTATATCGCAGAGAGAAACATGACGTAATTGAAGAATGTAATAGGATAATTGTATAGAAAACGAGGTATATGAGCAAATGTGACGCATAAAAACCGAGGGGGAACGGTCAGGAGGTATTATTAAGAGCGACATTTTCGCGAAGCGACGACCCAGCGCGCTTCATTTACTGCAACAGAGCGCTCCTGGCGCAGTATTTATGGCATAAAGTCATGTATCTGCCCCCCCCCCCTTTCTCCCCCCCCCCCAGCGGTCGCCATGCGCGGCGTACCTCCTGAGCAACCCAAACTAAGCGCCTCAATCGCTACTGTTGTACGAAAAGCAATAACTCTCAAAGCTAACTTTGAACTCAAACAAGCTGAGAGACAAGGTTTTGGATTAGGTTCCTCGTTGAAAAGCAGATTTTTGACAGCTCAGATGTCAAATAAGGAAGAATCTTATATATAAAACTGAATGTCTGTTTGTCTGTCTGTATGTCTGTCTGTCTGTCTGTACGTCTGTCTGTCTGTACGCATGTTCCGAATAGAAAATTCCATTTCTAAACCGATCGGGACCAAACTTGGCACACATACACTTTGGGCCCCGGCGGGTGTCATAGGCTACTTTTCGTCATCGATCGATATTGATTTTATCGATTTTTTGCAAAATTTGAGCTAGGGGGCTGGAATTTGGCAGGGGGTGTAATCGAGCATGCTGATCACCCCCACGGGGGTGATCAGCATGCTCGATTACCCCCCTGTGCCAACTCCCAGCCCTGTAGCTCAAATTTTGCAAAAAATCGATAAAATCGACATCGATCGATAACGAAAAGTGGACCGTGGCACCCGCCGGGGCCCGAAGTGATGTGTGCCAAGTTTGGTCCGGATCGGTTGAGAAATGGAATTTTCTATTCGCAACATACGGCGGAGCCGGGTAAGCCAGCTAGTTTTGATATAATATGGACTACCGATGCTGTGTGCTCCAGAATGACCTTATTAATGGTGATATCTCAGAAGACGATAAGTCTGAGAAAAGCTATTACGTTACATCAGTGGCGTGTCGTGAGGGACACTCTCTTTGAACCAGACTGCGGCACGTAGCGTGCGCAGCGTACGTACGTACGTGAGTAAAGATATGAAGCGTTTGCTGCGTACATCGTGCAGTCTGCGCAACCCTGAGAATGGGTTGCAAGATTATAAAAGTCACTTACATAAGTTATTAAAATGTTCAAGTAATTTGCTTTTATTAGGTTGAACCGAAAGTTCTGTCCCTCCATTTTCAAAAATTCGTAACTTCGCCAGATTTCAACGGATTTGCTTGCTCGTAATTTTATTAGAAAAATAGATCTTCCGCTTTCAAGCGCTGTTTTATGTAGCTTCTGCTTCGCACTGAGTGCCGAGATAAAAATGGAAAACTAAGACCATGTAAAGTTTGACCATTTTAAGTTAGGTCACCAAAAATCTGGAATGCTGCAGAAAAATCTGAAATCGTCAGTACATATGTTTTTTGGCCTACTCTTTGCAATTGTGAAGAGTTTGCGCTGTTTGGACGTTTCTGCGAGAAGTTATGATTTTTAATTAATTTTGGCGTTATCCATAGTAAACTCGATATTCATAACTTCTCACAGAGATGTCCAAACAACACAAACTTTTCACAGATGCAAAGGGTAGGCCAAAAAACATATGTACTGACGATTTCAGATTTTTCTGCAGCATTCCAGATTTTTGGTGACCTAACTTAAAATGGTCAAAGTTTACATGGTCTTAGTTTTCCATTTTTATCTCGGCACTCAGTGTGAAACAGAAGCTCCGCAAAACAGGGCTTGAAAGCGGAAGATCTATTCTTTCTAATAAAATTACGAGCAAGCAAATCCGTTGAAATCTGGCGAAGTTACGAATTTTTGAAAATGGAGGGACAGAACTTTCGGTTCAACCTAATATTATTCGGTTGAACCGAAAGTTCTGTCGCACCATTGTCAAAAAATCGTAACTTCTTTCTGTCGTGATGATTTTGCGTGGCTAAAATTTTGTTGAAAAGAGCAATCCATGCACTTTCTAGTGGCACCTTGGATGCTATCTACTGCTTTGAATGCAGAGATAAAATTGTAGAAAATAAACAGCCAGTATTCTAAACTATATTTTAACCCCTTTTTCTAGCTGGGCAAAATTCGCGCTGATCGCGCTGTTTTTAGAAACTTATGATTTTTGAGAAAAAAATGCCGAAAAATCAGTTTCTTAAGAAAATTGATTTTTGACATAATTTTCCAAAAAATCACAAATTTTTGAAGAACATTTCGATCAGCGCGAATTTTGCTCAGCTAGAAGAGGGGTTCAAAAAGTCTAGGATTGTGGCTGTTTTGGATTTTATGGCACAGTTTTGGATGGGCTTGCCTTAAAATTCCGGACTTAAAGCGATTTCCTTCCTACAATTTTATCTCTGCATTCAAAGCAGTAGATAGCATCCAAGGTGCCACTAGAAAGTGCATGGATTGCTCTTTTTAACGAAATTCTAGCCACGCAAAATCATCACAACATGAAGAAGTTACGACTTTTTGAAAATGGTGCGACAGAACTTTCGGTTCAGCCTAATAATTGAGATAATTTTCAAATTTTTCAAGCATTCAAAAAAATTTTCGTAGTGCACATTTCGATACTTGCAGGCATAATTTTATCTCACCAGCTGGCTGCGTGCAAGAACGCGAGTGCTTTTCCTATTTCACATTACCTCAAAATTCAACCGACATGCATCTTGTACAGTTCCTCGTGCCGCCCTAAGAATCGCGAATTACATTTCAAATGATAACGTTTTCAGCACAGATTTGGTCACATATTCTGAATCAGTCCATCGCATTTCAAGTGAGTCATTTACATTTATTCAGGTTATTCAAAAGCCCTATTAGGATCTGGTAATGATAAAAGAGCACAGTCTTGCTGTGGCCTCGGGCAAAGTTGCAATTCCACGGACTTATGATGGAAAACTTTGAAACAAGAATTGAAATGCGCTGTTCCATGTATATGACTGACCGTATGTGTTGTGAATCGAATATAGACTCTTTGTCTGGAAAACGATCCAAAAAATTATGTCGATGCGACGATTACGACGTAATACCGCTTTTATTTCTAGATTTTCGGCAGCACTAAAGGTGCTGTAGTTTGAATTGCTAACAAACAAGTCACCCCAAACTTGGTCTTCTTCGCTTTCCATCGCCCGCATATTATACAAGCTTCTTTTACATACGAGTTATAACTTTTTGCACTTTTTCCGTTTTCTCACTTCCGCTCACCCATCGTTCATTGCAGTTGGACTGAGATAGCTTTGTAAGAACCTCAGAAGTCACGTGGTTTTGTGCTAAAGAGAAACCTCTTATCCAAAGAGAGCCATATACTGTCAAGCCTCTTTACACACATGATACACAACATACGTAATACTTCGCATTCAGAAAAAACAAATGAAGCTTTGGTCTGCTTGTCATGAGCTCCGCCGGCTACAGGGTGTCCCAAAAGTTATTACACGCTTTTTGGTCGTTGATAACTCTCTTACAAGGTCTTCTGCTTAGCTTGAGTAGAGCGGAGTTCGTTCCATATTCTGGGTCTAAGCATTCATTAGAGCGGGCTTCAGCTTAGATATAGAGCGAGCGCCTACTGCTCTTGGCTGGTATAGAATTACGATGAAACTTTCAGCTTACAGAGTCATTGTGGACTAGCCGTGTTAAAAAAGTTTCCAAGAAATCCACGAAGTTGTGACGGGGTTTTCACGCAAAATGATTTTATTGCTGGGCTTCTCACATGTTTGTCTAGCTTTTTAGAAGGTGTAGTTACAATTTTACAGAGCAAATTATTAGACTGTTAAATAAGTTTTGCAGCAGAATCCTAACCTTCCGCTTTTTGATATTGGTGCGACCAAATTTTGATACACAGAATGCCATATGAGCTATAAACTGGCACAACCGTTCGCTTTCTGATGACAAAACAGGAAAATCCGTCTTTTCATTCGAAAATTGGTGAAATTTGAGGATTTGTGAACTACGTGAAAATGAAGCCGTTCTCAACCTAGATCATGCACAACAATCCGAAAGTGACTCATCTAGCGCAGTAAGGAAGAAATGGAATTCGAAGACAAAACAAGATCGTGCGACCTCACAAAGATGAACGATCCGCTATACTCAAAGCTGCTTAGGGTCAATCACCAAGAAGCCGAAGTCTCAGAATTCGTCAAAACTTTGCATGGTAAGATTATTTGCCCCGAATACGAAGATCATATTTATCCATCAAATTAGCAACTCTTTTCTTGTACAGCGTGAGACTCCATACCGTATATCTACTGTAATATTGCGGAAAAACCCTTACCATGCGAAACCAAAACCATTTTCGTAATCAGCATGTCAAATAACCCATCTATAAAAATTTTCAGCCAAATTTGTACAAAAATAATTTTTCTGCTTTTACCATATACCTACCGTAACCCTCATACCTTATGTCACGACCCATCTGTGTGGGAATTTGAATACGCATAGAGAGAGAAGTTACAAAAGTAGTTGCAAAACTTAGTTGACGACCTAACAAAGGCAAGTATTGCGGTTTAATTGATATAACTTATGACAGAAATCTTGCGGTTAGATTGCAAATTCTATCGAATATCAGCAGTTCTGTATAGCTTAGTGTAAGAAATTTTAAACTGTTCGGTCTGTTATCTGAGGAGAGCTGGAGCCGTCAATGGCTCAACTCGAAAACTTTTTTGAATTTCGCACAGTATATTACAACAGTGAAGACCAACGGACAATTCGCTTCAAACAATAATCTAAGTTGAAGGCTGCTATACTGAATGGTGCTTAAATTTAAGCAAAAGTTTTTGAGCGAAGAGGGCTATCAAGAATTGTAAAATGTATACTTACTTTTGATCCATTTTTGAAATTTGACGCACGTTGGTCGTATTACTTGTCATGGAATCAATTACGTTTGAAGGCTCTGTGCCATTTTAGGCCATCGTAAATGTTGACATTTCCTACAACCGAACGAATAAATTGGTAGAAAAATTTTAAGAAACCAAAGCTGCATGAATCTTATTGAATGAATGTTCAAATCAAATCGTCACCGCACAGAACACTTTCAAGAAAAAAAAAACAGTTCCCTTCTTTTACCTTCGTTTACCTTTGTCTTAGATAATTTTTTCAACTAAACTATATTACTGATTTTTTCTTATAATCTGAGTGAACATTTTCAGGTCCGTGCAGAAAATGTCATTCCCTTTTATTTCTGATAAAGTCCTCTCGCAGATCTTCTATCTAAATGTGATTTTTTCTTCTTTTGTCCCTTCACTTCAATTAGGCGCATCTTTCAACAAAGAAAAGTGCTATTGAGTGAGCGACGAGATGCAGAAAAGGTGCAAAGGTAATCTGCATTATTTCAAAAAGTATCAAACTGCTGTACATTGCCAAAGCAGAAAAAGAGCTTTATACTAAATCGTTATAGCTCAATCGATGATCCAAGATTTCTCACGATTTTTTTCAGAAAGAAACAGCGAGATTACGAGAAAGACTAGCTAAGTCAAAATCAATTCCAAGCAGACGCAAAAAGCATTGACATTTGAGAATATCGGTAAAAGCAGTCTTCCTGTCTTTTATCAATCCCCCAGAGGAAGATAATAATCGATAGTGTTGAAAACTGAATAAATTTGTGATAAAAAGGGCGAAGTCGAAATGGGTCTGCAATTTGTGAACAGTGTCCTTGCTGAAACACACTAAAGCGCCTGTCAAAGTCAATGACGCAACGAGTGGAAGTCAAGACAAAAACTCTGGTACAGCTGTGTGATGCGCCGGCTGCAGAGCTGGTGAAAGAAGCCTTGCAAATGCATACATCCGTAAAACGATGTTGGTTCAAAAGAGCAAAAGAGCCTAAATTTTTGGAGTATAAATCGCAGAATGTAAGATGAGTCTGACACTTGCTTGCCGCAGTGTCAACATAATCTGGCTGACTGGTTTGATATTCCTATGTGCAAAAAAATTAGCGCACGAGTGGAGACGTGTATTGACTTTAAACGTTGTTTTTCTTCTGCAACGGGTCTGAAAACTCATGTTCTTGCATTAGACTGAATTTTATGAACAAAAACCCGAAACTGTTTCGAACTAAAAATAATGCCAAACTATTTATTTCATTATAGAAAATATTCATAAAAGGCAACATCGGTCTCAAAATACTCTAATAGATGCCAAGGACAGAAATTGTGCAAAGTTAGCAAAATGTGTAAACTATAATATTTTAAAGAGTTTTTTTTTGAATGGAGTGCGCACAATTGTAGAAACACCCCTTGACTTACTTTGCCGGTCTCCGAATTTCTCGGTGAGGCACAAATTCATCAATAGCATGTTAAAGCGCTTAGCGGAAAGCAATATTCCCTGTTAATCTGACATTGAAGGTTATTCTAGAAATTGATACTGTACGAGACGTGAATTTTAGGCTCATGATGATACAAACACATTTTTGCTCATATCTGCAACATACTGAAGGATAATTTGTCAGCACTGTTTAGAGTCTGAAATATTACCTACTGCACTTGGAAACCCGTATCGCTAATGCTCTAACATTGCTCGAAGTGGTCTTACATCCAGGCGGTTTCAGAATGATCTAATTTGCTAAGCAGGGAATGGTCAGAACCCACCTTAACCCAGCCATTCCAGCATACTCTATATCATCGAACTCGTCATGAAACGCTGATCACGAATGTATAGGGTGCGGAAAAAGTACTGTCCCTGCAACTTGGCACCTGAAATATCCCGAACATGAACTAAATCTGTAGTTTTCTGATTCCCACATGTAGGCGAGAACCTTGAGATCAGATAAGGATAAGTTTGGTTTGAAACTGTTCCCTTCTGTCCCTTTGAACGAGTGATAACAGCGCGCAAGAACATTAACGATGCGCCGATAGCATGCAAGCGCGATTTTGGATTGTAACTATACCACCAGCATTGATATAAGGTTCAAATTAAGCTGTTATTTAGTGCATGACCCCTTCTCCAACATTTTGTACTCATTATAGATGAATTATAGATTAGTGACTCTTGTTTTGGCCAAATAAGGAAGAACATGCCACACGCAAATCGCAAAAATTCTCGAAAAAGAAGCGAGTCAGGACTGCGTTTGCTCAATGAATTGGACTCAAACTATGATTCGAACTTTCAGATTCCAACAAAAAGTAGCAGGAATTATGAAAAAGCATCGGACTTTGTCTATATCACGATTTTGGAGCGATAAACGATTATACCTAGTCTCTGTGCCACGTTTTCTGGTCGCACTCTGTTGCGCCGCAGCGACTTTCTCGTTAGAAAAACACACAGCATTTATCCTAGTGCAAGTGCTGACTGGATACTTCCAGAATATTTCGGGATCCACTACCACATTCCTTAACAAACAAGAAAATTTCTCAAAAATCTTCACACTTCTTTAGATTTGTAAATCGGAGTTGCAACATGTGATATGAGATGCGCTGCGAAAAGGGATCTGCCGCCAGGTAAAATTGTAGAATTTTGAAGCCAGTTTTTGTAAAATGATAGAATATATTCCTACCTTGGGAATTATGTCAAGTTTACCGAAAAAAACCTGTGAATTACGCCAATTTTTTAAATTTTATTTTGAGGGACAGTACTTTTTCCGCACCCTGTATGTTTACTCTCTGCCAAACGACTAATCATGAAAAGTTATGAGCGTTTGAATGTGCGTTCTGTCAAGTGTTGTGTGGCGCATATCCCAGGAAGTAAGTTCAAAAACAGTTATTTAGGATTTTGATAAGTGTGTTTCTTCCTTGTAACTGAAATAACATTAGCCACTGTAAATCCGCGCCATCAGGCTTCCTTTCAAAGAGATATATTCTTCGCAGCTCGAAGAATTTCTCATATTTGAACGCTTATAACTCTTCCCAGATAGTCGCTTGGCATATAAAAAACTATAGTTGAAATTAGCGTTTTCAGACGAGTCCGATGGTATACAGCGTGTTTGGAAGGTTGGGTTAAGTTCTGACCATTCCCTCGTAAGTTTTCAAAATAAGTCAGCACATGCATAGGCTCTGGCTAGGGAAGGATCCCAAACTGCGGTGGCGATCTGACAATGAGACGAGAAGCATATCATTAGAAGCGCCTTTTGAGCTGGATCCAAGCCTGACCTTCGTATCTGGCGTTCTTTAGAAAAAGTTGTCGGCGATCAAACAATTAAATATGTCCAACATTCAGTAGCCTTCCTAAAAAAATTATTTGAAAGCACTTGATCGTTTTTCTAATTGATGTGTGCATTGGCTACAGTCAGCACACTCAATACCTTGCAGTTATGCATCACCCAGGCTGATTCAAGCGCACATCATAAATTAAGACTTCAATGACTTCACACTTTCAATCGCTCATAGCTTCTTTTAGAAAATTCCGCAGCAGATGGAAAAAATAGATTTGAAATCAGCTCATCAAGACCACTTACACACATTTTAAGCAACCAAATTAATTCCGGAGCGACGATATAGGCCATCAGAAAGCACCACAAAACCAACGTGTGTCAATACGCAGCACTCAAATATTTTATCTGGAGCTTCGAATAACCACTGATAAAATCTTACTACTAAATGAGAATTTATTGCACGTTTCTAGCGGTAAGTGCAATATCTCAAATCTTTGTGCTTACCAATTTTTCAGGTTATATCCTTTGTATCAGCCAAACGTTGCGGTGCTGATGGAGGGTTCAGTTATGGCTTAGCGCTTGCCACGCAGCCACATGGGGTTGGTTCTAAACTTTATGATCTTGATTCGCATTTATGCCAAAAAATCACGATAGAGCACTTACAATTTCCTAGTAAGCAAAAGATTTGTATAAATGTGTAACAAATTTAGAAAATGATTTTGAACTATTTGTAAGCCATGCAGGTGGCATCTTGTCTGTGTGCTGAGATGGCGAAAAAATACGCACTTGTCAATAGAGCACCTTCAGACGGTTTCAAATTTGAACTCGCAAAGTATGTTGAAGTCCCCAATAGCTTATTATTTTCTTCCTCTATGACTGTATAAAATAATTACAGAGCTAAAATAGCGAAGTTTCTACAAAAACTGAGAGCGGAGATAATTAAGGTAAGAATGAATACATTTTGACTGTTTTTTCCTCATTGTGGCATCTCCAAAAAACCCACTTGAACTAAAACGCACCTCTTTTGAAAACTGTGGTCAACGGCAAATTGATTCACATATGCTGTAAACACTTATCACATCCTTATAATCCTTCTCGTCACAGAAAAAAAAACAAAGCTAACCAATAAAGGAGGAATCGAGGCATTTTTGTGATTCATACATCGCAGCATGCTCTAATTTGGTTCAAGCAAAACGCAGCTTGAATTTTTTTCGGTACTTCCCGTGGCAACTGGTACCACTTTTCAAGACCATTAAAGGATGATTTTCCATAGTGAACTTAATTTTGCGGGATAAAGGAAGTCATTTCCAGCAAGAAGAAAAAATAATTTGAGCTTGATAATTTGAGTTAAGTCACCAAAAATTTGAAGATTGCGATAAAATCCGGAGCAAGCAGTGTATGAGTCTTAAAATCCACCTTCTTTAACTGTGCAAGTTTGTGTTATTTAAGCATTTTTACAAACTTCGAAACTCGTGTTCTCGGAAAAATGCTCAATTAGCGCAAACTTTGCACAGATGAAAAAGGTGGATAGCAATTACATTACAGCTCGCTCCGAATTTTACCGCTAGTTTCAAATTTTTAGCCACTTAACATAAAATAACAAAAGTTGAAGTGTTTATTCGTCTGCTTCTATCTCAAAGGCTTCCTGGGACAGGAAATACACTATTATGAGAAATGATTTTCTCTATTCAGCAAAATTAGGTATGTGCAAACTGGCGAGAAAACAACAAGTTATGACTTTTCAAAAACGGTGAGCCAGAACAAAATTAGAGTTGCAACCAAAATCCACTTTTGTAAATCACGTGTCTGCAAAAAACTTGAATGCAGCTTCAAGAGGTTTATTGCCCTTTTGATGTAACAAATAATCACTTCGTGCGCCTCCTCGTTAGAAGAATAATCACTCGCGAAAAATTCCGTTCTTTCGTCAGAGTGCATTCGTCACAATCGACTATTAAGCAGAACATCAAACAACTTTTATATAGTTTGCCAAGACAGTCAGTTTCAGGCAAAGAAGTATGGTGGTTCTGGGAGATTTGGATGCGCTGTCGTGAGCAAATATGGCCATGCGCTTGCCGTTTGTTATGTTCCTCAAGATAACAGATGTTAGATAAATGTTCTCTTGTTTTGTAAATCACATGTCGAACAAATTAATAAATTCCTGACAGCATCACCTCGTGTTGCAGCACCTCAACTAGCTTAATTGTGTCAAAATATGAAAATTACCATTTATTGCTTTTTACCCTTAATGTCTTGCCTCATCACAAAAGACAGCATGTGCAGGTTAAAGTTTCCTTTATTGTGCAGCTCTTGAAAACAGTGCTTGGGCAAGCTTAGAGATCCCAGATTTCCTCCATACAAAAGTGGACATAGTCGCCATGATGTTGCGCAAGTGCGAAGCCATAGGTTAGAGTAGAGGCAAGGATTACGAAGGAAGGTGGAAAACCTTACGCTTGATGGGAAGGCTTTGCTTACCCGTAATTTTTCTCATCAGCGGCAAAATGCATAAGCCGCGGCAGTCGCCACAACCGCCGCTGATCTATGTGTATATGTGACATCGTGAAGATGTTTCTACACTTTTTTATTCAGAACCCTATCCTTTCTAAGTTGTTCACGCAAATGTACACGAAAGCGGACACTTTTCACTATTACTGTTTTTGCTATACTTCAAAGCAAGGGTGACATAGGCACCATATAGGATAAAAAGAATGGATTGTGCTTTGGTAGAGGTCATAATGAGATGTGAAGGAGTAACCTACTTGATTTGCATGAGGCATCAAAATGAGGTAAGGAGAGGTAACCCAAGTAGAGTTTATAGAGGCATTTGTAGCCAAAGCGTTTCCGCATTTGCTCCTGAAGGTTAGGCCAGACTATGCGACTTAGGCGAAGTCCGCAGCGTACATCTCTATCTTTATGCACATGCGCATCGGCGTACGTCGCGGACTCCGCGCAAACTGCTAAGTCTGGTCCAACCCTAACAGCGTAAATATTTTTGCAATAACCTCTCGCACCTCAACCTCTATACGCACTATCCCGAGCGAACACATTACGGCAAAGACGGCTGGAACATGAAAGCAGCTACCTGAATTCATACATCGAAATAGCGATCAAAGTATAAGCCTTCTTCAAGCTCTATCTGAAACCTTGCCTCCTTTAAACAAAGTGTGAAACTGACGATAGCCTAGTAAAAATAAGAACGCACATATGTGAAGTGCCAAGGCCCTTTGCTAACTTGCACATATAATCTCCAAAAACTAACACCGTGGTGAAGTCGGATTACAGGTTTATAAAGGAGTGACATTGATGAAGGAACAAAAATGAACGTCTTTATTACATGAATGTCTCCACCAAGTTTGAGATTTACAATTTGCTAAAAAAATGGCAGCGATAGATAGATTCCAGTGACGTAAAGGGAGGGGGAGCGCCTCCTCCCCTTCCGAGAATGGGTCGCGAAGTTTTTAGAAGTTATTTACTTGAGTTATAAAAATCAAGCGACTTGTTTATACTTGTAATTAATTATTATAATTTCAAAAAATTTAAAATTTTCTTTAGCCCTATAAAAATTTTTTCTGGGGGGGGGGGGGGGCGGCTGACGCCACGCACTTCCATCAAAAAACATTTCTGTCGCTTCCCCCCCCCCCTCCCCAACGGAAATCCTGGGTACGCCGCTGTAGGTCATTCGGAAAGTTTTTTCGTTTTCGCACCTTTAAATTCAAACGAGCACAACTTTTTCCAGATCTCATCTTTTTCTTCCAAATAAATTTCATTGTGTTCAGCAGAATTCTGGTAACATTATTGTAGTGTTTATGTGCTTTTTTCTTGCGAAATCATTTTAGGGGAATCAATAAAACCTAAAAAGGCATTTTTGACAAGCTAATTTTTATCGGGTCTTATTATTTTTCAGTAGGCACCGAGGAACCGGAGAATTTGGGGCTGGTAAAGGAAGATCCAGAGAGTTCGAAAAATGAACAGGAACTCCGGTGCGCAGTCAACCCCTTTTGTGAGCGCCACTTTTCTTACTTGTGGTTTGACGGCGTGAGGGCGAGGATGGCACCTTTCATAGATTGTACGTGCAAGTCTGCTCAGCTTTAAGATTTTGACAAACGGTTTTTAGAGCGGTATTATACTACTCTGCTCTTACACCACAATCACATCTTAGCAAATTTATAGCTTGCAAGACTAGCAGGATTATGTTAAATTGAGTACATCAACCTTTTGTAATGACTTACTGTGCATGGCCATGCTTGCAATGCTTGTCCCAAACGATTTATCACATTGTTGCTTCTTTTAGCTGTACTTGGCCAATTTTTTGTTGTAATTATCAATTCAGGCCAAAAAAGAATTGCTCCGTCAAAGTATGAGAAACGAAAGCAGAGTCAACGCGCCCTCAATCTGCGAGTGCGACAATTTGTGAGGTGTATGCCACTAATATTTTTTGCTATTGCAGCTTTAGCCATGGTGGCTTCAAATGGGGCCGTATGACACTACAACGCCTGCTCATAGTTTTGTGCAGCTATATCTGCGATTTGCTCTAAAGGACCCTTTGAGATGCTCGTCTATATGGCAGGAAAACCTTCCAAAACAGTGCAGAACATTAGCTTTCACTTCTCTAGATCTGGACTTTTTGAAGCAGACTCCAACGTCAAGAAAGACGTGGCCTTAGCAAAAGCTTTGCGCACAATGATGGCTTTTCAACTGCCTTACACTCAAGACTGACCTTAAAGAGTGCAATTATTCGAAAATCGCGTTTTCATATGTCGAATTTATAGCCATGTAAACTTCCCTACAAAGCGTTTTCTGCAAGTTCGGTAAGATCCTCAGAAACTAGAAGGCTTCCTTTACAATTTCATCTATAGCAACCTCTATCAGCCCTCTGGCACTCTCTTAGAACATGGCACCAACATCAAAGGCGCAAAAAGCGAAAAAACTTTCCGAATGACCTAATAGATTCATATAGGATCTAACAATAAGTGATATAACGACCTTTCTATGAGCGGCTGTCACAGCTAAAGACGAGCTAGCAATCAGCCTACTATAAAAAACTGTAATCATCATAACTGCAAATAAACATTTGTTTCCAGCGCCAAATAAATTCTGCTATGGTTGCAAACCCATTAGAGTAAACTTCTACATATTTCCAGTAATGATCTATAAAAATTAGTTTGTCTTCAAAACTAGCCTAAACGAAGACTGGAATGTGATGGGCGATCTAGAGCAGTTGGAAATGCTGACAAACTAAAACGACACGGCCGCAAGCATAATTAACAAATTGACGACCATGCAGATATTCAGTTGTCCGCTTTCTAGGACCAAGGTCTTTAACGGATCAGCCCACGCGGTAGTAATTTTCAACTATAGCTACGCATACTGCCATATACAGTCACCTACAATAGATCTGAAATGATGACAAAAAAGGTAGAAGTCATACCTAGATTTAGCGCAATAGAAAGCTCGTGGAGTGAGTTTATCCCGGATTAGTAGCCATTTTAACAAAATTCAAGCCTCAACACACACGCTGTGTCAAGAGATTTCACGCGATAGTCGGCCTTTAACACATCGAAGACTGCTTGACACACCATGTGTGTCAAGCAGTCTTCGATGTGTCAAAGGCACTGTCCAGGCAAATCGGGCATATGGGTTTTTCGCCTGGAAATTGATGAGAGGGTCCTAATTAAGGCACTGCCCAACGGGCAGCGCAAATTGTTCATACACGGCTGGGAAATCCGTTCCCGAAAACCCCGCGTCCGTGACCGTAACCCGAAAACGACTTCGCTCACTTTAACACTACGTTCGCGCTGGGACCCCTCCTAAGTGTTATGGTCGGCGCAGCCGCGGGGCAGGGCTCGGCACGAGCTGGCACCAGGAAATTTTGAAAAGGAGACCCCCTTGACTTTTCCAAAATTTTACGAAGTCCCCTTTGACCCGTTTTGAAGACCCGCCATATTTTTGGATTTTGTAAGAGTATGTAACAAGGTTCTAACGCATGCTGATTTCATTGAACAAATTCCATAAGTTTTCTGAGCTTTTATGGTTAGCATGATCTCAATTCTTGCCTTATTTAGTTCCTCCTGATTGTTCTTCGATAAACCCATTCAGATCAAAAACTCAAAAACTCAAATTATATGTTCTTCTAACAATGCAGTCATATATAGAAAACCAAACGTACAGTCTTAAAAAACTCAAAAACTTTAGGACAGGATGATGCGCTCCGTATGTCGCACCACTATTAGCTTTTGGAGTGAAGAGGAGGAAGAAGAAGTAGAGCTTTCGAAGGACTTATGCCTAACCTCTCGCTCAGCACTGGACAGGATGTTGATTACATTGAACTCCCCACAAATTTATTCACATCTTCGTGATATGCAAAATAGCCAAAGAGGTGTATGTTAGACATGCATGAGATTCTCAAAAGGATTATTCACTACGTACTCTTTGTTAGGAAATACACCCTATTTTCCAGACAAACAAGTAGACCGTTGAAGTATTATATATCGCACCTTAAGCGCAATTCTAAAGCACATCTTTCGCACCAACATTTTCGCGGCAGGTGCGCGAACGTTGGTGCGAAAGATGCTCCTCAGGGTTGGGCTTAGGGTGCATATATAACACTTTAACGGTCTACTTGTTCTACTTTACGTGAAATTGAATGGCAAATAGTTGTTAGAATTTTTAAGATGTGTCAGTGCTAATTCAACTTTGATCGAAATTTAGCAAAGTCTTGTCAATAAATGCAGACATAAATGATTTGAGAAGTAGCTTTAGTTTGATGATTCCAAGGTAAGGATAGGACCTAGATGGGAAATTTTTGTTTTGCAAAATATGGCAAATTAGTAAAGCAGATTTTCCCGAAAACTCATAATCGAGAGAACGAGACGACGGATGTGAAAAAACTGTTGCGAAAGTCTGTGCCTCTCCTTTACGGCGTCAAACACCGCTCGCGTCGTGGCGAACTTCCCACTCCGAAAAATAGGGTATAAATGGATATTGCTTACTATATTAGTATGTGTTAGGAGGAGGGGCAGATGGGACAGGATGTGCAATCGGTGCCAGGAGTGCACCGGCGAACTGTGGTATGACACCAGCCCCGGCTGCGGTGGCCCAGATGTTGTGGCCAAGTAAGAACCGGGGCAGGTGCAGGGATAATCACCGTTCGACGGTGCACTCCCGGCATCGATTGCACGTCCTGTCCCAGTCTCCCTTGCTTGATCTTCTTTTCCCTTCTTCTCTTTCTCTTCTTTGATGACCTTCTTCAATTTAACTTTGTCTTGATGCAATTTGATCTGAAATGATTGAGTACGATAAACGTATTTTCCATCGTTGACTCACTATCTGATTCGCTAAGATTCCCATGAACACAAAAACTGTGTTTAACAAAGCGTCCTGCCACGATACTGTTATACAGCAACCACACACCTGAAGAAAATATTGAACGCGGTTACTGATGAAATGAAACAACTTACAACTACTTTCTTCTCCGCCGTGGGCAAATACTGCGCGGAAGTGGTAACCATGCAAAACATTAAAATCAATAACATCAGTACCACGACGTCGGAATGGCAGATGGCAGACTTCAGAATGGTGGGAATCTTCGATCCAGATGCCTTCAAAAGTTGTTGCCTTTTCAGTTCTTCAACATCACGCCGAAGGCCATCCAATTTCTTTTCCAGTAGTAAATTTTCTCGAATAGCAATAATAAGGTGATCCTGAAAACAGTATTCTTTGCATGAAGATAAACATGCAGATGGCAGGTAGGGGATAGAAAGCCGCCAGTCTGAACCGCCTCTTAGACAACTGGCCCTGTAACGAGATGCAGCAACACTGCAAAAAGGACCAGTAGGCCGCAAAAGGCAGCTCAATCTGGGGGTGTGTGACGTTTCGCACGACCGTAATGCTTTCCACACAGGACCACCGCCGCGCGCGACACACCCTGCGGCGGCTTTTGCCTAAGCAAAACACGGGGAGGTAAGATTTGCGGCGTGCACTACATGTTAAGACAAGTCAAAATCAGGGAGACGCTGGAGACCGCCCGTGCGAAAAGACCGTCTCCCCAAACTGGCGGCCTTCGTTCCCCTACCACCGCCATTAGTATTAGTACATTAGTATTACATTATGTCCTCAGTGTACAGACCACAATAATTCTGGAACTACCACCCAGTGAAGGCGAGATCTAATACTTACCCGTTGACTCAATGTAGGATACGTAAGGCTTTTTCCAGTCCATCCATAATAATTTCATCCATAGTTCACACCCTGAAAAGTTAAAATAATTTATACTCACCAAAAGAATTTTGATTGCTTACGTCACTTGGAGGAGCAGCAGGTGGAATGCCTCCTGATGGAGGAACTGGAAGTATGACTGGTTGTGTTGCGTCGGTGACATTAGTAGTAGTACCAGCTTGCTTGAGGTCAATGAGCATCTTTTTGCCTGAGCCACCTCATCATCTCTCATGACATCTGGATCAGGCGTAAATGGAACGCCAGCGCTCGCAGCAATCTCGATCATATACCTAAACAGTTGGAGGATAATGACTTTCTGATGAAACCAATGGCCAAGGAAGACCAGATACAGTCTTCAGAGATGTATCTGCCCAGGAAAACTAAGAATGCTAGCAGTGATAGTGGGATGAACTGGAATTTTTGGAAGATTTTTACAACTTCAAGAGGCAGCGATATGATAAAATAATACGAGAAGAGCAAAAACTTGATCGAGCTTTTTCAGAGTTGAAGGGAAAGAACATATGGAGTGACCAGATAAGAGTGTAACGTATCTGCAAAACACTACACTTTCACGGAAAGATATTTCAGCAAGAAAGTCTTGACAAGCAACTGAATGGCAAGATATTTTCGTTGACGATGATTAGCCACGGTTTGCTTGGCGCTGGCGTTGGCTTGGCACTTTTGGGCTTTTTGAACGCTTTTGGTCTTCTTTCGGCGAAGTATGACGGGTCCTGCAGATTAGTTTGGCATACTACGCGATATATTAGGTTGGTGCAAAAGTAATGCGCGTTTTCCTATCCCTTGCTTCCAGATAGCTTTTCTCCATCGAAGTTTTTCCTATGAAACTTACCCAGCATATTGTCAAGAAGCTTCTTTCATGCTTTATTCACTGGTGGTTGAAAGAAGCTTCTAGCCTCATTTGTTGAAACTTTATAGAGCTTCATACAACCGCACTCAAAACCAGAATTTCATTGCACTTACTTTTTCAGCCAGAATTCAAGCGCGAGTAAAGGCATTCTTTTGAAAATTAAACTACTGTGTATGTAGTAGAAATTTTCTACGTTATGCATGCTTTACTGTTCTCCTAGAAATTATTTGGACTGAGATCTCGGCGCCTCAACATGAGTGATGGTTTTTACCATTCTGTGGCCCATAGATTTCCTTTGAAGTGGGCAATCACCAAAGTTTTGCTCATTGCTTTAAGCGTAAGGGTGGGCCTCCTCTTGATAGTTTTTGCAGAAATGTGGAAGCTGTTCAGTAGACAGAAAATCAAAAATCTCCATATTTTGGGATTTTGAGGGCTACGAAAAAATGTCGAGAAAAGCGGACAATTTTAAATATTATTTTTTTACTTTTTGCAAATATTCTTTATATGAGCCCTTTTGTACTTTTCTTGTACTACTGGTTTGCGGCTACAAGACAGTCAACTTCTCATTTATACCGACATCTTGAAGAAAGTTATGATCAGTTAAAAACGAGGTTTCCGGAAAAAAAATTTTTTGCTTATCAATTCATATTTTTCTACGGATTTGCGATGTTAACATAAGTTAATGTGCGCTTTATAGAAAGAGGTTTGGTGCTACTGATGAACTTTACTGCACTGATAAATATGGATTTTTTAGAAAGTTATAGCACATCAAAATGAGAACTCGCAAAACGCGCATTACTTTTGCACCAACCTAAAAAGAAAACGATGTGAGGTAACAGACAATTTTTTCTTCCAATAATGTCACAGAGCCTCGGGCGATCAATAACAAAATGTTTTTAGAGTAGAAAAATAATTAATAAAGCTTATGAGCACCACATAACAAGAACGTGTAAGCCTTACATGCTATGTATTCAGCAATCCCCGTACGTGCCTTCATTGCCATTTCCGTCTTCTTCTTGCCCATCACTTTCAAACGGTTGATTGCAAGTTGAAGATTTCTCTTCAACTTTGGGTACTGAGCTCCCCAGCTTGTTGACATTTTGCTGGAATGAATATATATTAGGAGAATCAAAGAAAAAAAAACATATGTAAAATGTACGAGCAACGGAAACTGTAAAACAAAAGATTTGCGCGAGTAACAAATAACAAGATAGTACTTGCTTTGTAACTGCACAGAAACAGAGCCACGCTTAACACTAGAAACCACAAATTATTGTTGAAATAAAGCTCATCCTCATCCAAGACTCAAATACTGAGTTGAGGAAGTGACGAAATGAAATCGGCAAACTTCGCGCTGCATTTGCTTGAGGCGCGCTTTGTGACTGGAGCAGATTTCTCGACTACGAAGAAGATCGAGAAGTTTCAGATGGCTACAAAACGCCGAAAAGATAACATTATGAAGTGGTTTTTTCACCGTATGTAAAATTTTACACTGTAGATAAATTTTATGTAGAAAAGTATGAAAACTTATGTGGGCAAAAGGCCGGTGCCAGCTCAGCTGGCACCCAGCTGGCACGGTGCCAGCTAATTCAGAAAAAAGTTCGGCACAGCTTTCATTCACATAAGTTTTCATAGATTTTCAGGATGTAATTCGAATCCCCCAACGCACATGTACACACCAAATTTGGTGTCATATGATTGCGTTTTGTTTGTAAATGAGGCCTTTGTTTGTTTTCGGCACAATTTGAATTCCCGCCGCTGATATGCAGCCGGCATGTCGCCGCCGGCATGTCAGTGGCATGCCAGCGGCTAAATCTAGATTTAACATGCCGCCTGCATTTTTGTCCTTACCTCGTTTGTGTTGCATATTTCTGCACTCTTTTTGATCTTATGGAGCGGAATAAGCGGAAGTAGTGCGGAAGCAATCAAAACAAACTAAAAAGCGGTGGTGAAGTCATGATCGAAAGAAAAATTGATGGAGAGTTTGTTTAGAAATTGAAAGAAAGTTTTGTGTGGCTTCTTTAGCCTGCACCTGACACCTGTGCATGTGAGAATGATTAACTCAGTTTTTACGAGGACTTTGTAAACCCTCTGTTCGCATTGGTCTTTCAGTCTTCATGTACTTCATGCAGCTATCGCTTGTTTTTCTTTGTTTGCTATGTGCTACAACCGTCTGCGGAGATCCCAAAATTTCTCCATGTGTGCCATGCATATCCGAAATAGCTAACGTGACCTTCCAAAACACGCCGGCGCTGCAGTTTTTGGAACTGCAAGTGCCAGAAAGTTGTAGAAAGGATTGCAAGGCTATGCAGAATATGGATTTCAGTGACTATGGCGTGGTTATCTTGGACACTAAATCGAGAGAGGTGTGTATGCTTAGATCCATGACTTCAACATGTCTTTGAAGTAAATATCTTTTGTAGAAAGGAGAGAGCGGGTCCTTCGAAATGAGAACTTTTATCAAATTTTCCAAGTCTCTTTGGTCCAAAGCCCAGCACGATGCGAATGCGCAGAGAGGTGGTCGAAGAATCGCAGAATTCAAAGCGTTCTTCACTGTGGGAGGATCTAAAGCGCTTGCGCCGCCGTTAGAAGCCACTGACCGTGTTGGGGAAGCTATCGCTTGGGATATGCACAGTGGCGATGTAGGGCTCAAATGCGGATCTCTCTTGAATTGGCCAAATTGCGAGCACGAGGCTCCTCAGGTATCAGCATAATTGGTGTATTGCCATTTTCAAATCAGTCTTTTAGGGACAGGGCACTCTGGACAGATTTTTAACTGATGCACCACCTGACTCCATACCAAGCGAGAAAGAACTACTGGATAGCCAAATAGTCATCGTCCTTTTGAAATTTGATCACAAGAAAAGAAAAGAGGAGGCAAAGTATTTTTCACGGGAGTTCAGCTATGTGCAATTCGACGCTAGAAGCAACAAGTACTTTGCTCCCGAGAAACTCCAGATAACAAGAGAGAAACAGGAATGGCTTTCCGCAAGGGCAAAGGATATTGTGGTCTTCACTACATCGATGTTTGAAAGTATAGCACTCCCATTGTTTCGCTTGAAACACCTCTTCTCTCATTATGAGTCTCCCAAAATTCAATTCTCATGTGCGGATTTTACATGGCTTAAGAAGGGTGAATGCATTTCTCTTTGCCCTGACGGTTACACAAAGACCGCCGTCTCCACCGTGGCCGAAAGTGACTCCGTTCGATTTCAGCGTCCATGGGTATAGTGCATGGGAGCGTGAAGAGGCTTCACATAACGCATTAGTTGATGTTTCTACGATTTTTTCTCAGAAAGTAATTTGGTCGAATTTTCAGAGCAATAAAGCTTCTATCATTAATGTCAACACACTCATGTGCTATATGAATTTGTCGAACAAGATTACTACTCTTATTGCTAGTTCAGTAGGATGGAGCATTATGTTTGCAAAGGCACTCAATGCATAGGCTTTACTTTAAAAAGGTAAACACTATGATGTCAATTTTTATTATACTGAAATGTCGATATATTCCCCTGCAATTTTTTCCGGGGCTCCGCCCCGGACCCCGGAAAAACGATATCTCCTTTGCTTTCGGCCCCAAAAACGATATCCAGCTTGACCCGGTCCAGCTGTGCCAAGGCCTGCCGCGGGGTGTTTGGGGATGGACTTCTCGTCCGTGACTGAATAGTTTGCGCAGTGGGCAGGGAAAGGGGCGTTTGGGCAGTGCATTAGCTAGAACATCCTCATCAGTTTCCAGGCAAAAGAAACTCGTGTGCCCAGATTTGCCTAGACACTGCCATTGAGGAAACTTCAGAAAGTTCTCAGGCTATTGCGACACCACTTTCTTCTCAGAGGCGCAGTCGATAACGCAGATCTCGCACAGATTCTCAGAACTACCTTTTAGGGGATGTTCCTGCGTTGACCGGAAGAAGTATCCTAATATTGGTCTCGGAAAACCTGTTGACTAAAAAAATTTCCAGAGATTCATCTTCCAAGGATGTCTTTGGCAAAGTTCTGACTGCACTGCCTTATATTACCTTTCAAGGAGAGTGTTTTTAGTCGAAATGACCTTCTCAGATGGTTTTTAACACTAATTTTGAGAGCGTTGAGCTCCAAAAATCAGAAACAAAAATTGAAGAGGAGCAAAGACAGAGGTAGAGGAAATCAAAAAACAACATGTTCGAAGGTGTATTTAGATTTGAAGGGGGTAAACCTACCTGCTCAGAAATCGAATTATAGGTAATTCTAACATGCACGCAAATATTAGGTCGTTTCATTCGTAGCGTTTTTATAAACCAACAAAATCATCAACTTACAGTAAAATTCAATCAAAATTATATTCCTGTTGTAGCGCACGAACTTTTGGCACATTCTTGTTAGCTTCTCAACCTCCATTTTTCAAACGGCAGCGCGCCGGGTCCCAAGAAAGTCATCTAACCAGCACTCAAACTACTTACTGAAATCGAGGCAGGCACCATTCACAAGGTTTTCCAAAGAGCGAAGCAAATAATAATTCGATAGAGCGAGATTTGAAAAGTACTTTGGGCACTGAAGTACCTTTCAGTCTAATCGTGAAGGGCAGTTTTGACGACATTTGCCGTATGAGGCCATGTTTTGTCATGCAGAAAAGCTCACTGGATCTGCCTGTTAGACTGCTGTCTCTGCCGTAATACCTGGTTTAGACGGTGCAGTTGGATTGCTTACGGTATGGTTGACCATCGCCTACCTGTACAGCAATTTTCAGTTCAGGACATCCTGCCCGTCTCCCGAAAGCCTTGTTCAGGGACACCTTGTCAGCCCCTGATCTTTTGTAGCAATCCAATCCTTTTTGTCTCATAATGATGTGCGAACGCCAAGTTAGATAATCGACACAAAAATCTGTGCAAAAGGCTTCTTTTCATAAGGAAAAATGCGCAAATGCTAAAATTGCTCCTTTTTGCTTTTCAAGATTTCCATCTTTGGAAGCTGCGAGATCCGAGTGAATCAGCTTTCCACCAAAATCTGTAAGCGTATTTCAAAGAGCACAATCAGCCCTTACAAATGATATACGCATCTTGCCGCAAGTCTAATACTCCACAGAGATATAAGGACGAAAATGAAAACGCTACGTACTTATGGAACGACCTAATAATTTAAGTTTCAAAACCGCAGCGAAAAAGGTTCGATAGCTAATGTTCCAAAAAATGCAATGAACGGTTGTAGTAGCTCAAAATATTATAATGCTTTCAATACTCTTAGCTCCAATTTCACTCGATTTACGGCTTCAGCAAGCTGTTAAGCAGCGCATATGCTTCACTATACTAAAAGCAATACTTTAATTTGGCCATCTCCATACTATCAGCGGCATTGACACAGCCATATCTTATATCAAGAGTCTCCAGAATCACTACAGTAGCATGCCTTTGTATAATGTGAGTGATAAGTGATATAGTATGCTGGATTGAGTTGGGATATAAGTGACTTTGAATGTCTTGATTCAGATGTGTGAACATCAATTTACATATACGGTGCCACAAAATGTACATCCAAAAGATTCAAATGGGAGGACCTCTCGAAATAAAGGTGTCAAGAAAATAAGTAGGAAAGGAGTTCATGACGTTTTTAAGATTCCTAATGCGTCACTATCCCAGTGAAAGAGATGAAGGTGCCAGTATTATTACACTACTGCGAAAGAAGCGATGAATTGAGATGATCAGCGTACATCAGGTGTCAGCTATGGAAACCCCATCGAAATTTATTTTATAAACTATTTTAGAGCTATCAAAATTACAGTTGCGGAGGCAACCATGCGGCACGTTGAAAACAACTGCTAATTCCGGATGGAAGCCTTTTGAGGTGGTTAATGGCTGACAGAGCTTTAGATTAAGCATTACTTAATTTGAGGCAACTATCAACGCTGCAAAGTATGCTCAACTCACCATCGAAGGGCGCTGCTGGCGTTTTAGGCAAGCCTGTACCTTGGGTTGCAGTAGCTAAAGGGTGCTAGACAATGTCGCAGAGTTGTTCACTAGTGGCGTACTCTTAAGACATTTCCTACCAAAGAAATGCTTCCGCTCTATCATTAATCTTCAAGCACCACCTGTTGATCGAACTACAATCTTATTAATCACGTTCTTCAGTTACTTGAATAACACATGGCTTTCAGGACCCTTGTCCAAAATGTGGTGCAAAAGTCTATTCACGAAGAGCGCATCACAGATGCTGTGGAAAATTTTCACGGAAGACTGAGAAAAATTCTTAAAGAACCATTCACCGCCGATGTCTCTGCTTCTCGTTTCCGGCATTTTCACACGTTGATAGCAAAGGCAACGATGACAAGTATAAACGCGTTAGGTGAAGCTCCTTTATAAGAAAGAAAGGGACCACGAGACTTTAGTTTAGTCACGAAGGAAAACCCTGAGAAGACAAATAGAACCGAAGAGAGAAGGTAGAGCAAGCAATGTCAACTTTTGGAGAACTTCGTGCAAGCTTTCATCCAACCGATGTCCAAGTAACGCACTACCATCAAGAAGAGGGCCACTTACACCTCGGATAAAGCCAGCCATTTGAAGTTTTTTTTGTGTCTTTGCATCATATATTGGAGGAATTTGCAGGGAACTTGCAATACCGGTAGAGTTTTAACAGGGGAAAGACCCTCGGTTGAAGTGGTGTTCCCACACGTCATGCATATCATTGTGCTGGTTTTAAGCACTAATACCAAATCCGTGCTCTTTAGCTGCTCAGTGATCTATTATTGTACACATCATAGGCATTAAGCTTCATGTTTGAGAAAAAAGAAGCCCAATCTTGACTGCTGAAGTATTGTGGGTTTTGGACTCTACCCATAGCTGGATATAAAGGTGCTAGATAGGTCAAGACAGACTCTTGAGTCGTATCCTCATTCAACAAAGGCTTAGCACACAACATCTCTTGCTTAGCTCACCATAAAGCTTTTGTTCCGTATTTAGCAGTAAAAATTCAAAAATCTCGTCCAAGACTCGTAAAATTAAGTAATCTGAGCTCTTAATCCTATTACGGCACAGATCAACCTTGAGTGTAGAAGCAATCAGTTTTGAAGACATTGTGAGATTCAGCTCAATTTGGCTCAGCTTCGCAAAACTGTCAAAAAAGGCATGATTAGTCACACATATTTTTATTTATCATATATATAACATTATTTCTTCCTTCTTGAAGTTGGGCTGCTTTGAGGTTTGAGATCCTTCATTTCTTCGGGCCTTTTTGGAGGGTAGGCGGAGCCTAAATATAGAAGAAAATTATTGTCCGAGCTGTCGATAGAAAATATTTCGTGCTTGGTGCATGCTTACCTAAATGTACAGCAAGCATACGACTTTGGCAGTAACATTCGTCTGTTGTGTCGTTCAATGGCAGCAAAGCATGTGGACATTGATAAAAGGCCTGTAGCGTATCAAAACTGTGCAATCACAGATCCAACGAAACATATAATGGTACCTGAAGATCTTCTCCGGCCTTCTCCTCCAATTCACAGCCTTGACGATGGCATCGATCGCAACCGACTTGTTTTCTGGAAAATTCAAAACGTCTAAGAAAATCTAAGTTTTTGGGATGTTATTCAGACGTTTGCAGCTGTAAACAGATGATGACTACTTACTGACCACTGACTACTTACTGACTACTTATTGACTACCAAATATGTGAAGTTGAGTCATGTGCAGTTTAGTAGTCGTAAAAGTTCGAGTAAAAATCTGCTAAATTTAGAGAAAACCTGAGAAAATTTCCCAAATTTGCAATAAAATTAGTGTAAAAAGTATAATCTTCAGAAAAAATCCAAAGTTTTTTCTATTCGGACAAAAATCGTGGACTTTCAGCATCAAATTCAATGAAATGAAAACGGAGCTAACTAAACCAGTCTTCTACGTTGCAAATTGGGTGCTTCTTGGCGTTGCTGACAGTTCATGGTTTCTCATGAATTTTGAAAATCTTGGGCAATTTTCCGGTTATACAGCTTCCACTAACCCAAATTATTTGATGGTAGTCTTATGCAATCGCTTCTTGGAACGTCTTCAACATAGTATTCAAGAAAAAAATTTCTATGTGGAAAGTTTACCTGCACGGAATGGCATTGATTTTCACTCGCATGCCTTCTTTTGTTCGCCCACATCGAGGGCACTGCTCAACATCTACCGAGAAATGATCCATTTGATGAATGGTTCGAAAGACATGTACAGCCTGAACAAAATTGATGTTGCATGCACAAATAATATTTTACAATAATTCTTACTTTTTCGTAGCATCCTCTTAATTTGGCTGCTAATATATCACCAAAAACTCGCTCGCTCATCATGTGCCGATGTTGCTCGAGGCTTGCCAGTGACAGTCGAGCAACTATAGGCAAACAAGCCGACTGGACCTTGAAACTCAGAACTAAGGAAAAGTAGGAAATCTAATAAAAATAAGAAATTAGATAAGGAGAAACGAAAACAAACACTTATCAAGTGAGCACAAAAAGGGAAAGAAGTACCAGTAGTAAAGGAGAAATAAAAATATTTGGTGGTTCGAAGAGTCATACCTGATCTTCAAAGCGATGTTTCAGGCACCAGTTTAGCCAGCACAATGCTACAATTGGCTGCCGGCTACTCACCTATTAATAGATTTTTTATACTATTCTCGAAGGTTGAAATCGTAAACGTACATTCTCTATGATAAATTTTGAGCACCGCACAGCTAAACCATTGGCTTGAAACCGTCGTGATAATCGCATACAGGTTTCTAAGGTATCATCTGGAAGGTCATAAGACAATTAAGTAAATAGGTATTGATAAATATAATTATGTAAAGAATTTTCTAAGCTTTTTGGCGCACTATATGATCTATCGGAAATCTTGCCGACTTCCCAGAATTTCTGACTCTATAAATCGAAAGTATGCTGGGTGTAATTCACTAGCAGTGCTAACAGGTGCCCTTGAGATAAGCACAATATTTGATCCGATAAATCATAGATTCTATGAACTTGTAAACTTGTAAATTCAACTTGTAAATTTCACAACATTGCATGTAGATACTAAGCTATTCGAAAAATTTGAAACAACTTTGAAAATAAAATGTGAATAATTTTTTGCGTAGGCTTACCGGTTATATCCCTCAGAGCAGGACACGGGATGCAGCTTTCAACAAACCATCGAAACTGTGTAGCAGGAGAGGGATTGCTGATTCCGGACACAGCTATCTGTCATGGTGATATATAGAAAGCGTTATACAATACCGCTCACACAATGTGCAAAATTTCCGTGAATGTCGCGGAATTCCGGGAATTTCGCGGAAGTCCACGACATTCCCGGAGTTCCGCGATATTCCGGAATGCCGAGAAATTCGCGGAAAACCGCCAAATCAACGCGAACCACGTAAACTACGCAGCGCCATAACTTCCCTGGGGATGACTATATTCTGCTACTACTATATTCTGTACGTTATACCAATCGAGGTAGTGCTACTCCCTTATGACGACGCAAGCATGAAAGCACAAAGCTAACTGCTGGGTTGTTCTCATCCTACGAATCTGACGATCTCTTGCTGAAATATTTACGACGATTGAATCTAGATCATATTTCGGAAGCGTTGTAACCACAGCAGCTAACTTTCTAGCTACTCACTGCCAGTAATTCGACAGCTTTCATAATTTCTTTTGTAAAAGCACCAGCGAATATTTTGCACAGTTTCGTGTTAAGAAGCAGCTTATCCCATTTGATTATTGACGACGTCCGAAGAAAATTCGGGAAATCAAGAGGCACGATCTTCCCCGGGGTCATCTGTTAAACAGCCCAGTTTAGAGCTATGCGAGTCTTTAATAATATCAAACGAAGTGCTCTAGCTTACTAACCATCTGAAGTTACCACCTGCTAAGTTTGATCGCATTTGGTGAAATCTTAATTGAAGTATCCACAAAAACGCCATCACTTGTATTTTCACGGGTTTTTGACCTCCAACACTTATGTTCTGAATCTATTGCAAAATTATGAGAACGGGAAAACCGTGGAAAAATGACGTGGGTAACCTCGATCAAAGTCGACAATTTTTGCCTTCTTTAGGTACATAATTTTTAACAAAAAAATTGGTATTCGCGCTCAACTATAGGCTAGAAGTTCTGAAGATGTAGTGTCACAGATACACTTTCGCAGGCTATATTTGCGCTTGCAGAATTTGTCGGAGGCGCAAAATTGTGCATGTGGCCTCAACGTAACATCTTTAAAAGCGTCCAAATGGAAAGGAGTTTAGTCTCAAACGAATAAAAAAGGATGGTAAATAAAAACAATGAATTATACTAGTATGGACTTACTTCAATATCCTCGTGTTTTCGATGGGTTAAGAACAGATTTTTGAAGTAATCGGAAGCATGACAGAGCTGATGCCGACACAGTAAGAAGCGTGTGCTCTGAAATTTGCCTCAGAACTATACGGGCGCATTTTCTCGCAATCTATTTGGCAACCTTAACAAGTAAATAACTGTTATAAAATCTTATAAGATTGGTTTCTTAGGCCCGTATGCACGTACATCCCCGCTGGGGAGGAGAGGGGATCTGAGAGGGGATGCGTCATATCTCGCTACTTTAAGTATCTTTCTTCTTCCTTTTCTATCTTGCTTATGAAGGTTCTCATACCCTACTACCTGCGCATAATTGATGCCAGGTTACTGGCATAACTGATTAGATTTGTACTATTTTGTGTGATCCCCTGGGGATCCCCAGAGGATCCATAGGGGATCACCTCTCATTTTCAAAGTCATTTATCTTCCTGAGAAATGAATAAAATCGCCGCAAAATTGTACTGAGAATATACTACGGCACTGCTAAGCATGTTTAAAGTAAAAATCAGTGAAATCTCAGGACATCGAAATCTTCGGTAATCCCTGGCTCAAAAGCTAGGGATCATCGAAAAATTCACAATCTTCAGATTCCATTTTTTCTGTCGAAAACATGCTTAGCAGTGCCGTAGTATATCCTCAATACAATTTTGCGGCGTTTCCATTGATTTCTCAGGAAGATAAATGACTTTGAAAATGAGAGGTGATCCCCTATGGATCCTCTGGGGATCCCCAGGGGATCACACAAAATAGTACAAATCTAATCAGTTATGCCAGTAACCTGGCATCAATTATGCGCAGGTAGTAGGGTATGAGAACCTTCATAAGCAAGATAGAAAAGGAAGAAGAAAGATACGCAAAGTAGCGAGATATGGCGCATCCCCTCTCAGATCCCCTCCCCTCCCCAGCGGGGATGTACGTGCATACGGGCCTTAGTCACCCATAAGTATATCGATGACGCACAAGATGATCTAGTCATATATGCAAAGATTAATTGCATGGAACGGTCACTCGTCAGCTGGCCGGGTAGCGCCAAAGGGCTGATTGAAAAATGGATTCTTTTACAGTAAAATTGTTGCCGATAGTAATAAGATTGATGGTGGAGGGATGTTATGAATTTAAGACGCTACCAGCTCAATACAGGGTTCTTTAGCGGTAAAGATAAATGATTTGTGATAAATCAAGTCATGACAGTTAGCGGGGTGAATTTATTGAAATCCAAAAAAATACTCACCTGAACTACAATGCTGGCAGAGCATCCTTCGAGATGGCATTGGCTATTGAGGTAGTCGAATGAGTTTGTCACGGAACGTCGTTTTTGTGGTGATTTGGATCTGCTAAAGAGTGTTTGCTGAATAGTACTGGCTAGATAACGATCCACAAATACTCAAGGCAATTGCCCCAATGTTCAAAAAATATGCACACCCTTCAGAGTGACAAATGACAGCTTTCTAGCTTGTTGACGATTCCTCTACTTTTTCTTCTTCAAAATATGCTTGAAAAAACATATCCAGATTTCTTCAAAAATAAGCTCGTGTTTTGGTTGTCGTAGTTTGAGATTTATTACTGAATTTTGGAAGGGAAAATATCTGATCGCATAGAATTGTTGAAATACAACAATAAAGATAGCTTTTTTCCAAAAGCTAAAGCTTACCTAGAACATGTTACCTCAGAATTCTAGCTTCCTCATGAGACCTACCGTAGAGCGAATAGTGTCAAAAATTTAATACTGCAACTCTAAAATAATGGCCAACGATAAAAAAAAATTCTATTGAGCTTGAACTGAACGTCGCTTGGAACAATTTGAACGATGTCATATTGCAGATTATTTGAAGTTTATATTAACTAAGGTGCTCCTCTCCCCTTCCCCCTGTCCCTTCCCCCTCTCGAAAAGGGGTTACACAAAAGTTTACGTTTGTCACATGAGAGCAGGTACTTGTTATTGCGCAATAAACTTTAGAATTGAAATTAAGTTTTAAAATTTAAAAATTTGATATAGCCTTGAAATCAATTGTTTGAAGAAATAGCTTCACTCTACAGGTTCGCGAATTTTGAACCCACCAAGAATTATCTTGGGGGGGGGGGGGGATTTCAATTGCGTACAGCTACTCAAAAAAAATTTCATAGACCGTTCTATCTAGTTTTTGAAATTGGGGATGATTTCTACAGAAATTTCAACCATCGCTGACCTAGTAACTTTTTCCTCGTAATTTCGTCGCTCTTTCCTGGGTGAATGCGATCTTGTCCGATGTACACCATGTATACCACCGTTCATGCTCGGACCCTCAAAGAGGGAGGGTTCCTCGAAATTTGAATTATAGTCTTTTGGCAGGTAATAGTGTGATGGGTCCGTGTTGTCATGTGGCGAAGGCTTTCTGATCTCTTCACGCCATTGTTGCTCAGGTCGGCCAAGAAATGTATCTGAGCGCTCCGTGTTCCAAGAGTGAATTCCGACAGATTCCTAAAATGGCAGAGCTCTTAAAAAGATTTAAGGCCATTCATAGGCATAAGTTTATCGATTAAAGTTTTACTGAAGCTTTACAATAATGCAGAATGATAGAAGAGAATAAAGCCAACAAAGAAGGGAACAGTTGGCCGGATGTTTTCTGCACAGGAAGTGCAGCAATGACGACATAGGAGATTTATTGCCTGCCACTGAGGTTTTTTTCTTCTCGTAGGGCTTTTTACAAAGGAGAATCTACATCTCTTCATTCACGAGTTGATGCTGCGAGCAATAATAATAATTTCCAATGTGCATAGAATGAGCAGTTGCACCTTCAAGTGATGCAGAAAGTACCTATGAGAGTTTTTATCGAGCCACAATTGCTTATTCCACCTTTTCCAATGACTTCCTTATGGTAGGCTGCCACAATACATATAAATCCTAAGAGCTTGGCGCCTGCTCGAAGCTGAGGTGATGATTGATCGCCTATTCGAAGTGTCGCAAATTTGTGTTTTACTTGGAGTGAAGCGAAGAGCAATCAAGAAATAATGTGCAGCAGATTATTATTAGGTTGTCCCAAAAGTAAACTCCATGTTCAAATAAGTTGCGCTGTTTTTATTTTCCTAACAGACTTGGGGTACCATTCGATAGAACGAAGCAAACTCTACAAAATGACCACCAAAGGTCCGTCTAAATCGTGATCCACGTAAAAGTTGCATCCAAAAATCAAAAATTTTCTACTATCCCAAAAATCGGAGCACCTTAGAGAAAATCCTTACGGACCTCCTACTTGGTCATTATTCATTAGACACATAGTAGCACCCAAGTTTGTATTTAATGTATTTGTTGGATTTTTTTGGGGATAAAAATTAAGAAACAAGGATGTTCCAAAATGCCGCTTTTTTCGTGTTTTTCCTGTAAAAACTTGGTATTTCTCGATTACGAAAACACAAACACAGGTAAAATTTCAAGGTTGCACTTAATAAGGCTTGTAGTATAAAATGACATATAGGGCATTTGAAAAATTGTGACGATGGCACGACGCTCGCGACACGCACGCCACTTCAGGAAATGAGTTTTCTTAGTTTTCATCTTTAGTCGAATGGTTTTTTTTGCTTACATATGATATTATTTAGACCTTGGAAGTGGCTGAGCTGGACATTGAGGTGCTGCCTTCTTGTACAAGCGTTTTATGCTTCTGTGGGCGCAAAGTCCGCAGTAAAATCCGCCGTCACGATTTTATAAATGATCTATATGTGGGAGGGTCTGGGGCGGAGTTTGCCACAACCTTAATTCTCGCTTTATAAAAGACAAAATTCAGTAAAGGCATACTTGAGTACACCATGTGCTGAATAATGACCAAGTTTGAGGTTGCTAGGATTTTTTGCAAAAATCCAAATTTCAGGTGATAAATTTTTTTCGATTTTTGCTCTAAAGTTTACCCTGATTACGACTTAGGCGGATCTTGGGTCGTCATTCTGTAAAGATTGCTTTGCTCTATCGAAAGGTACCCTAAGTCTGACAGGAAAACAAAAACCGTTTGATTTAATTAGAAATACGGTTTACTTTTAAGACAACCTAATTTTTTCGCAAGCTTTCACACCATTTAAAAAATGAATGCAATATCAGGTTTCAAATAAGATCGTACAAGCGCTAACTGAGGACCATCAAACTATCGGCTTCAAAATGCTTAATTTTTTTCATTTCCAAAAAGAGTTTCAAAAATGTGGGATTTGGCGACCATACACAATGAGGTGTTGCCACACGGATGTGTCATACTCACACACCAAAGATAAATCGGAGCTGTCAGCAGCTGAGAGGTGCAAAGGAATAATGAGACGAATGAGAAACGACGCACATTACGCTTGTCTAACTACGTCATTGGTGTAATCTCATATGTGCTGAGAGAAAAAAGTTTTTTTGCAAATTGTGTTTAGCAGCTACTTTAAAACTCAGAGACTCCTTGTGGACAACGGATTCTCAGAATATTTCGCATATTTTGACAAAAAAGCTTTTCGGTTGTTAGGGGGCATCTAAGACTATATGAAGGATGTGCGCAAATATTCCCGAAAGTTTTGTCGGTTTTTTTTTCATCGCTCACTAAAACCCAAAGAACACCAATCCATGGACGATCTAGGTATCATTTAACTCAAATTTTTATACTCTTTCTTACTGCTATATTCGCTCTCTGATCTACCCTGTCTTTGCAATATTATTGCCATGGATTTTAAGCAGTTCAGCACTAACGCCAAATCTTTCCTGAATTTTAAAAATTTTTATACTGATGTTTCCGAGGAGCGCTAGTAAATGTTATGTAGAGCAAATCTTTGGCTACATTGTGTTTATTTTAGACTAGCTGGCATACCCGGCTCCGCCGTATGTTCCGAATAGAAAATTCCATTTCTCAACCGATCCGAACAAACTTGGCACACATACACTTCGGGCCCCGGCGGGTGTCACAGTCCACTTTTCGTTATCGATTGATGCCGATTTTATCGATTTTTTGCAAAATTTGAGCTAGGGGGCTGGGATTTGGCACAGGGGGGTAATCGAGCATGCTGATTACGAATACAATATTAGTTTTCGAAACCGTGCATTACTTTTATCGATTTTATCGATTTTTTGCAAAATTTGAGCTAGGGGGCTGGAATTTGGCAGGGGGTGTAATCGAGCATGCTGATTTTTGCAGCTCAAATTTTGCAAAAAAATCGATAAAATCGATAAAAGTAATGCACGATTTTGAAAACTAATATTGTATTCGGAATCCCCATGCTCACTTACCCCCCTGTGCCAACTCCCAGCCCCGTAGCTCAAATTTTGCAAAAAATCGATAAAATCGATATCGATCGATGACGAAAAGTAGCCTATGACACCCGCCGGGGCCCGTAGTGTATGTGTGCCAAGTTTGGTCCGGATCGGTTAAGAAATGGAATTTTCTATTCGGAACATACGTACAGACATACAGACATACAGACATTCAGCTTTATATATAAGATTACATGAGTCACGTTTATCAAGCTCGTTATAATTATTTATTTAAGAAAAACCGCGGCTTTTTGATTACGTCTACCACGTAAAGTTACCGAAAATTCCAAAAAGCTGATTTTTCAAAGCAAATCAAGCTTGGTTATGTTGCATAATAAGTGTTTATTAGCAATCGAGTTTCAATTCGCAAAAATCTCAAGAGATTTCATGTTTTCGCTGCAGTTGCGCGTTCCTGCCAGAAATCAAGACCTCCGAGGAAATAATTTGTTGAAGCTAAAAACAGCATTTTAGGAGAATCTAGAAATATCGCCTTGTAGTCCGAGAATTGTTCTATTTGTGCCAGTGGCGTACCGAGGGGTGGGGCGGGGGGGGGCGTGCCCCCCCCCCGAGAATGGGTCGCGAAATTTTTGAAAGTTACTTATATGTCTTATAAAAATGTGCAGAGGATTTGTTTTTACTTGTAAATAATTAAAATAATTTTTAAAAATTCAATTTAGCCTTATAAAAAAATTTTTTCGGGGGCGTGGCCAGCGCCACGCCCCCTTTTTTTTAAATTTTGGGGTCAGGGGCCCGAAAAATTTTGGGAAACATCCCGAAAATTTTTTCGGAGTGCGTGGCTGACGCCACGCACGTTCATTAGAAAAAAATTTTTGTCGCGCCCCCCCCCCCGAGCCGAAATCCTGGGTACGCCACTGATTTGTGCTACTTAACCACATCCGGAACATTGGAATGACATTTTTGAAAATTAGCCTAACTTTGGGCAGATAAAAATGACGGGTGAAGAATTGTAACAAATAAAACTCATTCAGATCTTCATTGTGCATAGTTTTATAGCGGTTTGAAAAAACCGACAAAACTTTCGGGACAACCTAATATTATACCATCTTAGACATCAGTGTCCCAGAAAAATGGCAGACCTACAAATTTTTTCATGACAAAAGGTATCAGGGTCACCTTAACTTTTCGTTCGTCTCATAACTTTTCCAAAAAGATTGATCAGGAGTTTTGATATGCCAAAGATGGAAGTGATTACCTCCTAGACGTGTAAAAAATTTTTTTATGATGCTGATTTTCTAGAAGAAAATTCGGTCGCATCTGATCTCCCAAGATTTTTCAAAGTATGCGGGATTATAGTTTAACAGATGAAGCTACGAAGAATCACACAAACATAATTGGACAATGTGTACTCCACCTTAACGGCCAGGCATACTTCACGTGATTTCATTCGCGAGTGATTTGACAATTCGCCAAAAATCTTCATATCCAACACTAGCAAACGACACATGCGCATAGGGTGTATAACTTACATGATTGATAAAACGTCCTGTCTTCTGTATAATTAAAATTTGCTTACAGTGAGTTATGAACAGCTGGAATATCGCCAAGGTCTTTGGTTTTCAGTTCCGAAAAAGCCTTTTCCAAAAGAATACAATAAACGATCAAAATTATCGCGTCTAAATCATCAAATCTATATTAGAATTTCGTTAGAAAATACATTCATTTCAACAAAGTTGCCCCGCAAAGAGTAAGCTCGCTCTACTTGATATTCCGCTGGTGATGCAAAAATTATAGACGCCTCTTACAGCATAACTATACCCACTGTTCCCCTCCACCCTACTTAAGCATAAAACACAAAAAAATTCTTATCTCGCGCTTTCCTGATTCAGTAACAGGAAGTTCTGGATCAAGAAACTCACCTGATCTGTTTCCGACGAAAATCGCAGCTGCTGACGATTGTGCATGTCTGCGGTGCTTACATTGAACTGCTTTAGAAGGATGCAGTAATACATTTAGCCGGGAGCTGTTTAACGGGGCATTTTAGCACGCGCACCCTCTTATCGAACATCGTTCCAAGCATTGTCTGGTGCCAAGTGCACCAGGTGTGTTGCAAGTAAAAGCAATGAAAGAAGCGATGATTGCCGTTTTACGCTCTTTGGTGCCTGGCTCATCCATCTTCTCGTCAAAATTGAAAATCCAAATGGTGGCGGACAAACCTCGCCTTTCTACATTCCCAAAAACTCTTACATTGCGCC